GTTTTTTCCTAGGAGTTCTATGGTTTCCAGTCTTAACACTCAAGTCTTTAATCCATTTCAAATTTAGTTTTGTATCTTGTGTATATGTGGTTCTTTAAACATAAATTGAATATTTTCTTTTTTAAGATTTTATTTATTTATTTTAGAGAGAGAGAGGGAGCATGCACATATGTGAGTGAAGGGAGGGGCAGAGGGAGAGGGAGAGAATCCCAAGCAGACTCCGAGCTGAGCGCAGAGCCCAACATGGGGCTCCATCCCACTATGCCAAGATCACAACCCCAGCAGAACCCAAGAGTCGGACGCCCAACCAACTGAGCTACCCAGGCACCCCTAAATTGAATATTTTCTTAATGCCAAAAGATAATCTTCAGTCAATTACTTGAATTTCTCATACAAATATAAAATCAGACATCATACTGACAACTGTTTCAGAATATTCACTAATTAAGCAAAATAGGCTAAGAGTTTCCAAAGAAGAGATGGAAAGATTATGAGATATAAAAACCCATGAATAAGTATTTGGGGACCATTTTGGCAAATGAGAAACTGGAACATTATAGGGATGGAGAGAATTGGGGAAGACAAGAAAAGAGACATATCTGAAAAATGTAATGAATCCCCAAAGTGCCTGATTGGTTTTAACATTTAAAAATCATTCAATACAAATTACCTTATCACTTAAATAGAATAAAGAAGAAAAGACAAATTATCATTCAGCCTTCCAAAATTCCGATCTCTGTTTCCTTAGTGAGACTACCGTTTTCCTCTTGGGCTGCCCCGCCCCTTCCTGTACTGCATTTGGAAAGTACAGCTAGGCATAAAGCCAGGACTATTCTAATGCTCCCCTCATTTGTATTCATTCTCTCAGGGATCCAGTTTCTGTGCTGTATTTTGTCTAATGCCCCAAATCTTTGCCTCATATATTTTGTCCAGTTTTCTAGTTGCTACAGTAGGAGGATAAGTCAAATTCAAGACACTCTCTTATGACCAAAGAATTACATTTTAAAAATACTGCTCTACCTGCCATGTAGAGTAGATTGTGGGAAAGTATGAGTTTTGGCAGGGAAAGCAATAAGGAAGCTAGTGTAGCAAGCTGGTGGCTTGGATTTGGAAGGTAGTAGTGGCAATGGAAAGCAGACGGATGAAGCATGTTTTCCAGTTGGAGTTACAGCATTAGGTATGGTATGGGCACAGGAAAGGGGAGGCAAGAAGTATCAAGGATGATGTCCAGGTTGATGTTGGTGCCGTAATGTAATGTGGAAGACTTCAGGAGGAATAGTTTTGGGTGGTTTGGAAGGATGGACTACTAACTCTTTCCCCTCCTCCTCCCTCTCTAGTCTTTTTTTTTTTTTTTTTTTTAAGATTTATTTATTTATTTATTTGAGAGAGAGAGAAACAGCATGACAGGGGAGAGGGTGAGACGGAGAAGCAGGCTCCCTGATGAGCAGGGAGCCCGATGTGGGACTCGATCCCGGGACTCTGGGATCATGACCTGAGCCGAAGGCAGATGCTTAACCTACTGAGCCACCCAGGCACCCCACCCTCTCTAGTCTTTCACTGCTCATTCTCCAATTCTGCCTCACAAAAGTCCAACAAATTATTTGGTAGAAACTGATTTTTGGACTAGTGTGAGGGCATGGGGAGTAAGACAGGAAATGGCTATGGTATCTTTTTATTTAACCCATGCACACAGTATTAAAAACATGATTGAGGTGGCGCCTGGGTGGCTCAGTCGTTAAGCATCTGCCTTCGGCTCAGGTCATGGTCCCAGGGTCCTGGGATCGAGCCCCACGTCGGGCTCCCTGCTCAGCGGGAAGCCTGCTTCTCCCTCTCCCACTCCCCCTGCTTGTGTTCCCTCTCTCACTGTGTCTCTGTCAAATAAATAAACAAAATCTTTAAAAAAATAAAATAAAAACATGATTGATTTTTATACAAGGAATGAGTTCTTAAGGACCCTGCATATGTCCAAAATGGTAATAGGTATCATCTTATATTGTATCTCCAAAGCCATGAACAAATAAAAGGACAAGACACAAGTTGGTACATAGAGTATAAACCACAAGGGTCTCTGGTAGAGATGATAACAACAACAAAGATCAAACAGAATTTTCATACGAAGGAAATCATTCAGTTTCTTGCTAGATAACTACTTCTCTCACCTCTTAAAATTGGTTTTTATCCTCTCAGAAACATACTAAGGTATACTTCAAGCTTACAAAGATCCTACTTCCCTGGGGACAACAGCACCCAACCCTAAGCCCCCAGAGATCTACAGAGGTTGATCTACAGGTCAATGTCTGTCTGAGCTCAGAATCCCACTCTATTGGCTATGATGGATTGGCCCAAAGGAATGCACCCAAACCCCATGGAGCCAATCAAATTTCTGGGTAACCTAGAATTTAGAATCAGGGTATGGAGATGATAAACTAAGTAAGTCTAAATGAAGAAATTAAAACACAACTGTAACATGTAAGCTCAGGAACTGGGGCGCAAGAGTAGGGCTTTTTCCATATAGGCTAGTGAAGCAGAGAAGGCAGATATGCAGAGAAAAAGAGAATGGAGCAGATACTAAGAGAGAAGCTGAGATAAAAAGATTAAAAAGCAGAGATAAACAAAGTCCTAACATCTTTCCAATTCCTGACTTCATTCCCTTTCTGAGTCTTTGAGTTGCATGAGATAATCCCAGTATCTTTTTAAGAACACTTTCCATTTTTGCTCAAGCTAACTGAAGATGGCTTCTATTACTTGAAAGCTAAGACTCTTGATTAAAACACATTTTGATTAAACACATTAAAACACATCTTGATTAAAATTCATTTCTCCTGGGACTCCTGGGTGGCTCAGTTGGTTGAGCATCTACCTTCGGCTGGGATCGAGTCCCACATTGGGCTCCTTGCTCAGCGGGGAGCCTGCTTCTCCCTCTGCCTGCTTCTCCCCCTGCTTATGCTCTCTCACACAAATAAATAAAGTCTTTAAAAATAAATAAAATAAAATACATTTCTCCTATAGCATATTATGAATTGAGTATAGTACATATTGGTTAACTGATTGGTTAACTGATTAATTTGGGAATAAGATTTGCATTATATAAACCTTTATTGGTTTCTGTAAGGGGAAAAACTCTTGCACTGACAAGAATGTAACCAATATGTGTTAAGGCAGGAGGTAGCATGGTATTTGGGGAAAGGGAAAAATCTGGGGAATCAGGAATCCTTAGACAGTAATATCTTCTGGCCCCTTTGGCCTCCTGAGCCATGGTCCTTGCTTGTCCTATTTACTGTCTTGCTAGCATTCAACTAAAAATCTACTGATGATGAAAGCATAGTCCGGTCTTTCTTATTTGGTTAGAGTCCAGTGGCTTTCCTGGCTGACTCAGGCTAACCTCAGTTCTCATTAGGCTCACTGAGACTAAGCTGGGACTTGCATCAACGTCTCCTGAGTCCTGACTAAGTCAAACAGAAACTGAAGGAAGCTCAGCAGAGCTGAAACTCTAAGCCTGTCCCATAGCATATTGCCCCACCAATTTTTCTCTGATGTATTTGGATGCCTGTCCTGGAAGGCAGTTTGCCCAGTAGTGGGATGTGCAGTGAGGTGGCGGCCCAGAAACCCACACAGTAAACGGGGTGAGATCCTTACTTATCTAACACAGAGAGTAGATATCTCTGATTGCTTTTGCTCTTCTCCATCTTACCATTTCTTACGGCTACATCTGACAGGAGACATGACTATGTCTTAACTTTAACCTTGCAGAGTACTTCAACCCAGCCCCACTATCCTAAGTAGAAGGACTCTGGATGGAGTCAGCCTTCCAATTTGAATTCTGGCCCCTCCCTTCTTGGATCTGTAGCCTTAGGGAGGTTCCTGTAACCTGTGTGTGCCTCAGTTTTTCCATGTGTTAAAATACAGGTTGCTAACAGTATCCTCCTCAGAGGGTTGTTACGAAAGAGCTCCTTACAACAGTGATTGACACATATTAAGTGCTCCATAACTTTAAGTTATTATTATTACTCCATTACCTTAGTCCTCTGGCCTCATAATTTAAGTGAAACTGCTTGAATTTCCCATAACAACATAAAATCAGATACCATACTGATAACTCTTTCAGATTATTCACTAGGGAAAAATCTTCCTACAAGACTGCTGTTATTGCTATATTCTGCTTTCCATTAAGGTTCAACAACATGATAACAAAAGCCCTAACAGTAGCACTTAACATTTATTGACCATTTATTCTGTGTGTGGTTCTAAGCTAAGCATTTCACATGCATTAGTTTAATTATTTTTCCAACCACCTTTTTAGGTAAGTACTATTATTATCCCCATAGTAAGTTTCTGCCAAGATTTAAGCTAAAAAGAAAACAAATTTAAAACTTGGTTTTTTTTTTAAAGATTTTATTTATTTATTTGAGAGAGAGAATGAGAGATAGAGAGCACGAGAGGGAAGAGGGTCAGAGGGAGAAGCAGACTCCCTGCTGAGCAGGAAGCCCGATGTGGGACTTGATCCCAGGACTCCAGGATCATGACCTGAGCCGAAGGCAGTCGCTTAACCAACTGAGCCACCCAGGTTAGTTTGTTCTTAACTACGTAGAAGTTTGTTTGTTTGTTTTTAATTTGGCAAAGTAGTGGGTTCTTATCTCCTGTTGGAATTTTCTCATTTGATACATGTTAGATTTTTTTTAAAGAGCTATAAACAGAGCTAAGTAAATAAATAATAGCTGTTTCAAATGAAGTTAAATTTACATATGTGCTAAAACTTTATTAGGAATTTTTCATGATTTTTCACATATTTACAAGCTGGATCTTACAATTCAAGCTTTCAAAAACAACTTGATTTTAAGCAGAATATTTAACCTGTTCAAGACTGTTTGTAAAGGAACGCAAGAAACATAAACTTTTATGTTTTTCCTCTATAAATTTTTGACACTTATCTACACATCATATGGTACACAATTTTACCAATAATTATTTCATATAAGTATCCTTTGCACTTTAATAATTACCTGTTAAGAAGATTCTCTACTTCTTGAACTTCTGCTATGGGCTCTTCATTATCAGAAAAGAGACGAGCTTGAAATTTTCTCTCTTGGAAATCATACAGCATCACAATAATAAGACTGCTCAAATGATCTGGCTACCAAGGGGAAACACACATAAAGGAAAGTATACAAACAATATCTAATAGCAATATTCTCCATTCCATTATTTTTTCATAAGAGAGCAGAAATATGACTATTTTTACATAGTCTGGTTGTACTGGGAGATAGAGAAGGACTTCCAAATGGAAAAAAGAAAATCCAGTAAAAAAATAAATGTTGTTAAAGAGACAATTTTTGCTATGTTCATCACAAAGAAAGGACTAGGCAGTATTAGAAGTAGGAAAGAGTTCAGGATGTGTTTTGAAGAGGTCTCAGCATTAAGCAAACTAGTTTTGATTTAAATCTAAAAGCTTTTTAGTACTTTCTAAATAACAATCATGAGACAGCTAATTATATAAAAGTTGTCTACTTACTATTGTGGTACTTGGGAGGATATAGCTGTCTATTAACATAGTTTCCAAAATATCTTGAACTGCAAGACAAGGAAAATGTCTGTTATTGAAAATACCAAAGCTGAAAATGAAAACTTTGGAATCAAAATACACTTCAGACAATACCACCAAATACTTTTACTTTCCTATCTAAAATATACCTCAATTCTTGACAAAAACTCAAATTACAATTACATGATGAATACTTGTCATCTTTGTGAATCCTGGACCCTTAGGAACCGGATTCCACATGAAATCCTAGTCAAAGGAGCATTATCTGAATAGCTAAAGTAATAATAAAGGAATTCCAACCTTTAATTTATGTCCTTTGAAAAACACTAAAGAGGATCTAATTTAAAGGTTTTATCATTTTTATGTATTGCTGGATTCAATTTGCTAATATTTTATTTTATTTTATTTAAGATTTTTATTTATTTATTCATGAGAGACAGAGAGAGAGAGAGAGAGGCAGAGGGAGAAGCAGGCTCCCAAGGAGCAGGGAGCCCGATGTGGGACCCAATCCCAGGACTCTGGGATCATGACCTGAGCTGAAGGCAGATGCTTAACCATCTGAGCCACCCAGGCGCCCTGATAATATTTTACTTAGGAGTTTTGTCTTATGTTTATGCTCATGAAGAATAGTGGTCTGTCATTTTCTTTTCTTGTAATAGCCTTGTTAATGTTGGGATCAGGGTTACACTGGCTTTGTAAAGTAAGTGGGAAGTGTTCCCTCTTCCTATATTCTTTCAAAGAGTTTGTGGTAGATCAGTATTATTTCTTACTGAAATATTTGGTAGGATTCAGTAGTGAAGACATTAATAACATTTAATCTAAGACCCAAATGACAAGGAGTTAAGACATGGCAAGATCTGAGAGGAGAGAGCATTCCAGGCAGAGAGAGAATTGCAAAGGTGCTAGGTGAAAACAAGTGGACACATTGAAAAAACTCCACAGGGTGCAGTTACAACTACTTAAACCATATACACACCATGTAACAAATGTTTTAATCAGTTGAGCAGAAAGCTAAGCTAGCTAGCGTCAATTCATTCAACCTACTAAATGCACAGCACACACTGCATTTGTTTTTATTTGGGAGATGGGAAAACTAAAAAGAAGTGACTAATGGGAGCACAGACTCCAATTTCCATAGGAAATCCCTTTGGAAATCATGATACATATTTGAGCCACCAATTATGGCTGCATTATACAAGGCAATACCCCCATTTCACTTATAAGGAAAATAAGCTTTAGTTTTACGACCTAAGTACTTGCAAACCAATTCCTATCTACTTCATAGGTTTTCAGCATGGGTCCCAATTTTTATCTCAGAAAATATAGTCATCATTGAAGGAGTTTAAAGGAAGCAGATCTGCACAGGTCACAGAATTTTGAGCAATGGAGATGCTTAACTCCTAAGAAATAGGAGAGGCAGAATGAAAAAAATGATGATTTTGCCAACATTGCATTTTTCCTTTGGGGCCTCTTGTCTAAACTGATAGCATCTTTGGGCTGCCTTTGATACTGTGCAGAATGCATTACCTCTGCGTATCTACAATGTATGTAACATTCTCCCATAGTAATATCAACATTAATAGCAATTGTATACTTTAGTTGGTGCTTTCTATGTGCTACACCTTGTTCTAAGTGCTTTCCATATATTCCTTGAACCCTCATAACAACCATGTGAATTAGGTATCATTATTATCCCTATTTTATAGATTAGGAAATGAGGGAAAGAATGGTTAAGTAAGATGTTCGTAGTCACACAAATCAGGGATTCAAACCCAGACAGTCTGGCACCAAACTGTATATTCTTTACCACAACATGATGCTGCCTTTCTTCATCTTCCTCTTAATAACAAACCCGAGTGGCTAAAATGAAACACATTGCCAATGACTAATTTGAGTTGTCAGGATTTACTTGAAGATTGTAAACCTTGCCTATCCTACCTAGTTTGGCACAACATCTTGAATTCTTACTTCCGTTTCGCCACTAATTAATGCCTGTTCTCTTTAGTCTGTTGAAGAGAACTCTTAACCCCCACTCCTCAGGTTTTCAACATGGAGGGGTCTTCCCTCTGCTTGTGTTTGCAGGACGTGCAGTAGAGAGGTCTACACTTCAACTGAGTACTGGATTAGATGAGAAGTCTCTAATTCAGTAGTAAAGTATTTGCACGCCACTTGGCTGGAGATCTAAAGCCATGTCCCCAAACACCTTTTTTTTCCTCTCCCAGTGGTTCCAAAATCAAGTGTAAAGGAGGAGTACTATTTATTGGACCCCTAAAATTCACATAGCCCATCTTGTCACCCCTCCCATTCTGGAAGAAAGGTGGAAGATGTTCCTTCTTTTGACTCTCCTCTAGGTTCTCCCTCTTTATTTTTATTATGTTTTCATAGAGTTTCCTTCATGTGAGGGATCTCTAGAATCTTCACTTCAAGAATGTCAAATGTAATTATACAATAGATGCAGTTTGTGTGTGTGTGGAAGGAGGGAAACAAAATTTAAGTATTTTTTGGCAAAACTAGTAAGACTATCCACTAACATTCTGAAAGAGTATTTGAAAGATGTAAACAATAGGGGAAGGAAGCTAGCATCACCAAATACAAAATCATTATACAATTAAAGTAACATGGAACCATAAAAAACTAGGATTTAGGGATGGGGTTGCTATTCTATCACCCTTTTCAACCAGATGAAATACTTCCTCTTTTCAACCTTCTTCCTGCTAGTTCCTTAGATACATCACTTAATCTCTTCTTGAGCTTCCTTCAATTTTTCATCTGCAAAATGAGATTCCTGCATCTGAAAGGACTGGTATATCAAATGTATGAACTGTTTTTTGAATTACAAAGAGCTATGCAAATACACGGTATTATTATTGTCATTCAAGAAAATTGCTTTAACCTCTTACATGAAACCAGAGCTTATGAGGTTATTGATCTAGATCATTTTCCTAATGAATCACTATGCAATCAAGAATTAACTCAGCAGGCAGGGCATCTGGGGGGCTCAGCCTGTAAGACTTCAAGACTTTTGATTTCGCCTCAGGTCCTGATCTCATGACCCAGCCCTAGCCCTGGGTCAGGCTCCATGCTGGTCGGGGAGTCTGCTTCTCTCCCTCTGCCCCTCCCCCACTCGTGCACAGGCACGTGCATGCTTGCTTGCTCTCTCTCAAATAAATAAATAAATAAATAAATAAAAACCTTAAAAAAAAAAAAAAGAAGAATTAACTCAGCAGGCCTGGGTGGCCAAACCCTGAACATTCCGAGGAAAGAGTAGCAAAGAGTAGGCCCTTCCAGCTCCTAAGCCTTTGGAATATCTTACCTGATAAAAGTATCCTTGTTTATGTTGGTATTGGGCAACACAGTATCAGTGTGGCCTCTAGAAGAGCTAGAGATTGAATAAGGTCAGCCACAAGAGCACTCCTATCTACATGACTGATCCCAATAAACACCCTGGACAGCAAGGCTTGGGTGAGCTTTGCTGTACTTCCATACTGCCTTCTACATACTACAATACTTCATTTGTGTTGTCATACATTGTCGCTAAGAGAATTAAGCATTGCCCATGGACTCCATTGGAAAAAGACAATAGGAAACTTGTACCAGGTCCCTCCTGGACTCTGTCCTATGCACCTTTTTCTGGTGTTGATTTTAAATAACCTTTCACTGTAATAAACTATAACCATGAGTATCGTAGCTTTGCTGAGTTCTGTGAGTCCTTCCAGTGAATCACTGACCCTGAAGGTGGTCTAGGGCACCCCATCTATAATTACTAATTCCCAAGCCATAATCAAACCATACATACATTAAGCATTGCCTAGGTTTTTCACTAGCAGGTTTTAAAAGATTCTGAAATGAGCAGGTTAATTCCACAGTCAGTTCCTGGGACTGAAAAGTTCACCAACTACTATATAAACCTAGAGAGGCTGGAGAAAGAATTAAGCCAGAAATAAGAGCAACAATTTCAGGGAAATCTTTTTCTTCAAGTGTTTTTTCTTTATTTGTGGCTCATTAGTTTATTTTTTTTATTTCTTAAGAAATCATTTTCCAGATTTTCTTCTTTTTTAATATTTAGAATTCCTTGAAACATCCAGAGATTCTTTGAAAAAAAAAAAAAAACAACAAATTGGCTGCTAGTACTCTACTTCTTTGATAGAAATAAACTTAAAAGGAATAGGCTACTCTTCATTACCTTTTTTTTTTTAATTCTTTTTTCTTTTTAAGATTTTATTTATTTGACAGAGAGCGCACAAGCAGAGGGGGAGAGAGGGAGAAGCAGGTTCCCCGCTGAGCAAGGAGCCCAATGCGGGACTCAATCCCAGGACCCTGGGATCATGACCTGGGCCGAAGGCAGCCGCTTAACCGGCTGAGCCACCCAGGCGTCCCTCTTCATTATCTTCTTTAACAGAAAATTGACTTTGGGGCTATTTAGTAAAACAGGAGTAGTGGTTGTCTTCACCTTAAAAAAACATACTGAACCCTTTAAACCTTTAAAAGGTTAATCAGATAAATACACTCTGCTTTGAAAGAGCTTACACACAAAAGACATCAACAAAGAGCAAACAATAAAACTGAAAAACAACACAACCAAAGGAATATACTTAACATTTATATAATTAAGAACTTTTCTGTCATTTTTTTCCTTCTTGTACTTCCACAGAAAAAAAAAGGTAATATGATCTAATTACCTATTACAAATTCACCAATAAAAGGGACCATTACCCAAGCTCTCTTTAGTTTGTACATTAACCTTTTCAGCATTATTGCTCCTATAAAACCAGAGAAAAAAATCCAGAATTTTACTTTCTGAACTGTGATTCCCTGAACCTATACTGTATAAGCCAAATATGAGTTTATAAAATATCATGTGCAAGTATTGGTAGAACACTGATAATACAGAAAATAAAAGTGAAATGCACAAAGCATTCCATATTTTAAAGCAAAATATCAGGCTATTAATTATCTTAGAAACCTAATGCATTTAGAAATTCTGGTTTTATTCTATTTGAACATTCAGAAATTATTCAGATAAGTTAAGCAAGATATTATTATAAGAATATAATATTTGTACCAAGTAAACAACCAAAGACATTTTAGTATTTGAACTCATATTAGAATTAGAATTTTAAAAATGAACATTTCAAGCAAAAGCAGGTTTGTAAAGGCCTATGGCAATACTTTATCAGACTGGGATTTTCTGGGTCATTAAAAAATATCAAATAGTCATAAGGCCCTTTCATAAAACGGAAATAAAGACTGAGAAAAAGAAAAAGATAATCTAGTACACATTATCACTATAGCATGGGCATCTAGTTAATGTGTTAATCTTGTATAGAATAATTTCAGGTTTTTAGTATTGATTTCTAAAGGTAGGATTCAATATTCCATTAGGAAAACAAACTGTCTCTAATAGAATTTTGGCATTAACATTAAATACCAACTAATTAACATAGATGCCCAGTCTGCCTTTCACTGTTGCAAGGAGAAAACGTAAAAATGTTCATTTGGCTCATTATTTAAAGTGCAACAGCTTGTCTTTAAAACTACTTGGTCTTTAAAACTAATTTTAAACATTAAAGCAGGTGGAAGGAATGGATGAAACAATCTGAAACATTACACTGGAAAAGAAAAAATGGTTAAGACAGATTTAAAAAGAAAAAAAAAACCTCAAGCAGGAGAAAACATGAAAACTAAAGAGAAGTTGCCTCTTTTTTTTCTTTTTTAAATTTTATTTATTTATTTGACAGAGAGAGACACAGTGAGAGAGGGAACACAAGCAGGGGGAGTGGAAGAGGGAGAAGCAGGCTTCCCATGGAGCGGGGAGCCCGATGTGTGGCTCCATCCCAGGACTCAGGGATCATGACCTGAGCTGAAGGCAGATGCTTAACAACTGAGCCACCCAGGTGCCCCGAGAAGTTGCCTCTTAACATCAAATTTTTCTCTATGTTGACAAATTCCTGGCTTCAGAGTTGAGCTGCATCATGTCTGCAAACTACCAAAATATATATATATTCACGTCTAAGTAATTAATGGATCATTTTAGTTCAAATGAACAATTGTTAACTGTCTATGTGCAAGGATGTAGAAGGCCCAGGAAGTACTATGACGAAGGAAATACACGAAAATTACTGTTGCCCTTTCAAGTTGTCTCTTTAGGAAGGGCACATGCTCATCATTTCAGCCATGCTGCTAATACTCTTAAGTATTTCTGGAACTTCTTTTTTGGAACTATATTCATTCAGTTTACAAACCAATAAAGTTCATAGCTAGTACAAAAACAAACACCTCCAGACCCTTTGACTGTTTGCTCTCACAGTATCTGGTTCTGTCCTAGAGTTAGCTCCATACTCAAGTTGATAAAGTTAACCACGCCTGAGGGAGTCTAAAACATTGCATCTTAAACCCTGGAGGCAAATTAGAAAGGGGCATTCTACAGAAGTTTGGAGGAATAAATTTATGAGCTCCTAAAATTAAGGCTACTGGTTATGAATGGGATCACCTTAATTGGGGTTGATTTAATTTTTATATTCATTTTGAATATATTACACTTTTTCTTCTTATTCCATCTCTGTTCCTCTCCCCTACCCTCTTACTGGTTTTTATATTTGTGAAAGTTCATACACTGATATACAAGATGTCAACACAGAAAATGCAAAGAGATAACCCAAGGAGAAGGAACCTGTACTTGGATACTTAAGTGGATTCTTAATTCTTCCTGTTAGTGGAATTGTTTCCTTGTTCAATTTCATGACTGTGCATTACATCTATCTAAGGCCAGGCAGGGAGCTAGGCCCAGGCAGATCTGCCCTGAAAAAAACAGTGCTGGCCCGAAAGAACTTATTTTACTGGAACTCTCCTGATTCCTTGACATTTGCAACTGACCAAAGATAGGCTTACGCGTAAAAACAAAACCTGGTACGCAGGAAGGGGCGGGGAGGTGGGAATTGCACTCCACAGATTCTCTCATTTTCTTTTAATGCTCATCTTTAAGGCTGGTACTACTCACACTTCAGGGCATTGAAAGCCAGCTCATACGACGACCGCTGAAGGGCTTCATCCTCAGATTCGGGCAAGGACCGCAAGGGTTCATTCCCATACTTTATTAAGACTTGCTCTGGTGACTTTTCGAATCGAATGCCCTGAAAAATGTTTGCGGCCATAACGTAAACGGAGTCCGGATAGCCCGTTTTTGCGGGTAAACCAGGTGAATTTTTTTCGCTGGGTGATGCGTCACCTGATGGCGCCAGGGAAGCAAGTTGGGAGGTATCCTCCCTATTTTTTTCGTTCGAAAACTCTAGTTCACTTGTGGCATGAAGCATGTTTGCCCTTTGACTGTGGTCGGTAACTCAAGGCTGAATTACAACTTAGATGTTCCAGTAAATGGTTTTCCTTGTACCGTAAGCATCGTCTCTGTGAAAAGAAAAGGTTATTTCGGTAAATCACTATTTATGCAGGACCCGCTTGGAGGCCCACTTCGTTGTGGCGTTAAAGACTAAGAGGTGGCATCTCCTGGCGGATCCGAGCGTCCCATACTTGCGGCCAGACAAGACCCAACCAAACGTCCACACACTCAGAAAGGGAAGGGGGTGGGGAGGCGGTTGGGACTTGTCTCCCAAACGACCTTTCCCGAGGCCCGTTTGGGGGTAGCGCCCCCCCCCCACGAGCCGCGTCTGTGGCGCCCCCTTACCCCGGAGGGCGGATGTTTCCCGGGGCTTCAGGGACGGAGACGCGGCAACCGCTGCACTTGGGGTACCGGAGGCTGGTGTCTGAACAATGCCCTCGGGAGCCCGGGGACGGCGAGGCGGCGGCTGTTTGGTTCCAAGGCAACCTCTCCCACCGGCCTGGTCTGAGGCAGGGGGAGCCGCGACCTCCGGCGCTCGCTTCGCGGCGGTTCCCGAAAGCAGGGCGCGCCTTCTGGCTTCTCCGGGTCAGACACAGTGGCCCTAGGCGGACGCAGCGGCGGAGCGGCGTGGAGCGCAGCGCCAGTGGACCCGCGGCTCAGGCCCAGCAAGGGTCGGCCGGCCGCACGGCCGGGACCCGAGTCTCCATGGCAACCGGGAGCGGGCCGGACGCCGCTCGAGGGCTGTTCCCGCGGGATTTGGCTGGCGCCGCCTCGCCCCCGGGCTAGGGGCTCGTCCTTCCGACTTCCGTGACGCCTGGTCCAGCCCCTCCTTGAAACCGAAGACCCCTTGCACAGTGGGACCGCTCGGTCCCGAGGGTTGTCGACCTCCCCAGAACCACAAGTGGCCGCCTCTTTTCCGACCCGTCCCGGGCGGTCTCCTGGAAAGCAAGAATTTTGTGTCGCTAACAGCACCCGCCTTGGCGCGTGTAGCAGGGGCGCAGGAAATGTTACAACGGATGAATGTAGAGAGCTACTGGAAAAAAAAAAAAAAAGGCGGGGGGGAGACGAGCCTACTTTATTTCCATACTCTTTAGAACAGTGGCTATCACATTAGACAGATTCCTACAGGGCAAGTTGGGTAAAGGTCTTTGCCAGCTTAAGACTAAGTCCCTCTTTTCCAGGAATTGCCAAAGAAAGACTTGGCTGAAATGGACCCACAAACGATCAAATTCGCCTCCCTCCATCCCCCAATTATAGCATGGAACTGGGAACAAATATAAACCTCCCCAAAGGGTTTTAATATGGATACTTTAATTTTTTTTAAGATTTTTATTTATTTATTGAGAGAGATAATGATAGAGGGCACGAGAGGGGGGAAGAGTCAGAGGGAAAAAGCAGACTCCCTGCTGAGCAGGGAGCCAGATGTGGGACTTGATCCCGGGACTCGATCCCGGGACTCCAGGGTCATGACCTGAGCCGAAGGCAGTCGCTTAAACAACAGAGCCACCCAGGCACCCTGGCTACTTTAAATTTTGAGTCCACCTGGTGAACTCCTACTCAATCTTTGAAACTCAGTGCAAATATTGACTCTATAAATCCTTTCTGATGCTTGTATTAGGATATAAATTTAGCCACTGTGACAGAGACTCAAAATAACCGTTGCCTTCCGTCCTGTTGGCACAAGGGCTCTCCTCCACAGTGTCGTCACGGACCCACACTCCTATTTTATGCAGCATGTAAGGGCTTTGCCCTGTCAACTTAGTCCGGGGTGCCTTACCACCAGGTCCATTACCAGCCAGGGGTTGGGAAAATTAAGAGGAAAGGGGTGTGCCCATTCCTTTCAAGGACATAACCTGAAAAATACACACATCACTTGGTTAGAACTTAGTCACATGGCATACCTAGCAGCAAAGAGGGTTGGCATATGTGTCCAACTAGAAATCAAGGGAACTATTGCTATGGAAGAAGGGGAGAATGGATACTGGGGAACAATTAGCAGTCTCTGCTACAAACCTCTGTCTACCACCCCTTCATCCACTAATCCACTCACTTTCATTTTTCCCGGAATGTCAAGTGTTACCTCTTCTATCTCCCATAACATTTTCTACATGCATGCATGCATTCCATCCATAAGTTTAACAAAGAAATATTAAATTCTTACCATGTATCCGGCACTATGCTCAGGCCTGGAAGTAAAGATGAATGCATGGGAATGATCAGGCACCTTACCCTCAAGAAATTAATGAATAGATATACATGTACTTTGGCACCCTTCAATTTTTATTATAAATATTTATGAACATACTGTATTCCCCCTCCTTCTGCCATCTTGCTATAATGTAGCCCATAAAACACACTCTTAAATAGTTTTATTCTTTTTATTTTTATTATATGTAAAGTCATTTTATTCCCAGATATTAGTAAAATATTACTGTCTTTCACACACACACGCATGCACAGAAGATTACAAATATAAAGATGCCTTAGGGGTCATGATACATTTTATTATGCACACAGTACAATCTGCTGAAAATGTGAGGCAATAGCTAGCTATAAACTTTAAAATACTATTGTCTTTCAAAATATAATTTGAGGAGCCTTTTTATTTTTCCGTGATACATCAGAGTAAGTGACAATTCACTGTATTGAAAATGAGATTTAATGAGAGCATCTATCCCCAAAGGAAAGCTTAAGCAAACAGTTGTGGGTGAGTGAATTCATGGTTCCTATTTACTCTAATCATGTGTATAATCCTCCTTACCTCTCACTTCTGGTTAATGGTCTTATTGTGGACTTAAATCTCAGGGAACAGAGTACAAAAGTCGCCATAGAGATAGGTGTGTGGATTCAACTGTTGTGAAAGCAGGGCAGTAAAAAATGTGGTCTTTCTTTAAGTCACTCTCTGTAATATGATCAGAACATTAAATCAGAGATAGTGTAGAAAATTAAAAGTTAGTTACCTGGAGCTTTCTACCAAAAGAACTTAAAGGAATGATTTTTCTTTCCCCAGGGGGTAGAGTATTTGAAATATTTATAAATTAACATTCCTTGCATTTGACTCAGAGTAGCCGGTATATATTAGCAAAGTAGGTATTCAAAATACATGTTCTCGGGGCGCCTGGGTGGCTCAGTTGGTTAGGCGACTGCCTTCGGCTCAGGTCATGATCCTGGAGTCCCAGGATCGAGTCCCACATCGGGCTTCCTGCTCAGCAGGGAGTCTGCTTCTCCCTCTGACCCTCTTCCATCTCGTGCTTTCTAGCTCTCATTCTCTCCCTCTCTCAAATAAATAAATAAAATCTTTAAAAAAAAACAACAAAAAAAACACAAAATACATGTTCTCATTGCTTTAAAAATCTGGGCATATAAACTGTGCTCAGTTCCACTGAAGCTTGCTATAGAAATGTAAAAAGCAGATGAAACATAAAGAATTTTAACTTGTGTTTTTAAACATCAAGGCTCAATTGATAATTATTGCCATTTAGAAATAATAGTCTATTTTCTTAGCAACGATTCTTTCCCTTATTCTTTTATATTTTATAAAGTTACCTAGTGGACCTAAGCTATTTCTAACTAGGAACTCTGGGGCACTAAGACAGGTATCAGGAGCCCTGTTTGTCTGAGGATCCACAGGGCCTCATGGGTAAGCTGCATCTGAAGACTGATGATCAGGTTTTGAAATATTCCATCCCAGAGGAGAAGAGGGTGGTAGATGCCCAAGAAGGCAGGAAACTCATTCTGAGGTGGGCGAACATCATCCTCTGATGCTGGGTGAGAGTTGGTGTGAAGGAATACTTTGCGTATCAGAGAGGGTAGCATTACTCAAGTGTCCTCTTGCCCAGTCTCTGTGGAAACTTGTCCCAAACCCACACTTGAAAAGGAAATGGTAAGATGATAATGCAAAGATCCCTTTGGGAAAATCAAAATATGATTGTGTGTTTGTTAACACAAGCCAATCAAAGATTAACCAAAAGAGCTATAACCACTTGCAGAGGAGGGAAAAAAAATCTTAATTTGGAAGCAGCAGACAACTGGGACGGAGCAGAGTCCTGAAGGGTGAGGCAAGTGGAGAGGAACAAAAGTCCAGAACTTAGCAATTCATAAACATCATCTTTAGAAACAACACTTTGAAATTTAGAAGTCAAATATGACAACAGCAACTAAGGAAGAGTTTGAGTGACCTGAGATGCAACAGGGAAAGAGGAAAGAGGTTTACTGTCCAGGGCTTGACTGTCTTTTGTGGCCCAGGAGAAAAGAGGTTACAATAGACAACAATTGTAGTAGATTGAACCAACACAGTAGTTTCCCAGAGCTGGTCATTCAAGTACCACCTTTGTGGATTATTTTTCCATATCCATATATTACCATTTATACTATTTACACAATATTTTATTTTAAATCAGGATCACAGTTTTACATAAATAGAAAACGATAAATGGAAAATCAGCATAATTTGCCATAGATGAAAATAACCACAACAAAAGCAAAATAATACTATTAAATTCTAGCTAGAAACAGTGTACCAAGGCTCCAGGCTTAATGTTGACTGCTCTAAGTTAAAAAGGAAGATGAGCAATGTTAGAGAGGTTTTAAACACCAATACAAAAAATGAGACATTCTCCTTGTCAGAAGGATCCAAAGAGCCTTGGATAAAGCAGCTTTCTCAATATGTATTTGTTATTCAATACTAATTCAGCATATCACTTCATATCATCTCTCGTACCTTTGATGGTGCTGGCTCTACAGTTGGAAAAACACTGTTAGGAAATTTGAATTCAAAAGTTAGAGAAAAAATGCTTCCTCTGATACAAGAGCGAGAAAATACAAGAAATTCAAAACTGGCAAAAAAAACATTAGAAGGATCTTGTGTCACAGATGAACTCAGTCCACTTACATGGCACAGTGGTAGTGGGAACTTTGAAACTAGATAGAATCAGAAAACCCGTTTTTTAGTCCTAATGTTGTCATGAATTAGTTGCATAATCCCAGGCAACTCTCTTTGTTTTTTATATTTGTTTCTTGATATGTTGAAGTCTATGATTTATTTACTAAGAAAAAAGCGAGTGAAGAAAAGACTGAGAAAGATTGGCAGTCAATAGGGGAAAGAGATTTAAATATCTATTTTAATATTTATTTACCAATGTACTTAAAATTTCTATTCAAAAGTTTATTTTAGCAAAAGAAGGCAGAAATGGAAGAGTAAAAGGACAAAGGCATAAAACATACCAAAAAAAAAAAAAAAGAAAAATGGTAAATGTAAATCCTACCTAATCTGCAATTGCATTAAATGTAAATGGATTAAATACTCAACTAAAAAGCAGAGGTTAGTAGAATGGATTTAAAAATCCAACTGCAGTAGAATGGATTTAAAAGTCCAACTACATGCTGGCTGCAAGAGACATATTTTAGATTCAAAGACACAAATAGGTTGAAAGTGAAAGGATGGAAAACTATAG